TATATATATATATATATATATATATATATATATATATATATATATATATATTAGTGTAATATCCAGTGTGTACTGTTTAATTTTAAATTTTTTATTACAGTTCCTTAAAAGTTTAATTGTATAGATCTAGGCAAAGTTTAATGAGAATTCCCTTAATTAAAAGACTAGAACTGGGCAAAATGTTGTAGAGCTTGGGATAATTGTTCTCATTGTAGAATGAGAGGTGTAAAACTTTTAAAAACATTTTCAGAATGTTGGAAACCATCCCAGAGGAGGTTCCTGTGTTTGCTGAAGTGTTTCGCGCTCTGCATCGTGGTAATAGGCAATAATCCGTCATCATTCCTAAAGAAGCAGGTAATACGGATAAAGGTTTCACAACAGAAAAGTTTTCTAACTAAAAGCTCTGTTTATATTACATCAGCTTTATGAGCAATATCTGACAGAATAACCTAGTCTTAGATAGGTGGATTCCTTCAGTCAGGGCCCATTTAAATAAATGCTGTCAATTTAATACCTACTAACAAACCTTTATGCATGAACCGTTCTAGAAATGGTGGTATTGTCATGGACTTTTAAAACGGCTGAAATTATTTTTTTGTTAATTGTTTGAAAGCAAACGCATTCATTAATTGCTGATAAAGTGAGATCTAATCCAACTAATATAGTTATCTCATCTCTAGAGCTGCAATTTGGAATTCAGCTCTATTAAAAAGAAGTTTTACTGTGGATTGTTTAATCTGTTCTACTATTTGTATTATACATTTTAAAGTTACTAAAGAAACATACTTCTTCCTCTGCTTATATTTTCTGAGCTCTGTTTTCTGAATGAAAACCAAACCGTAGTCTATACACACTCTTATCATATTACACCCAGAAGTGTATACGTTATTGTTATTTGTAGAGAGTTAGAATTTTCTCACCTCCTCCAAATAAGTCATTAATTATTCATAACAGAGGCAGAGGTGAAGGTCACATGGTATAAAGGAAATGTCTGTCTGTTTGTTGCTCTTATCTATAACAGAAGTTAGAAGCTTAAAAGAATGGGAGGGGGGGGGGGGGGGGGGGGGGGGGGGGGTGCAACATGGCTTTGAAATGTTCAGCCTTTCTGTTGTCTGCTGAGGTTTTACACTTTTCAGAGTAGCAGCCTTAAAATAAAGCTCAGGTACAGTATCTCTTGATCTCTCGTTTGCCTTGTTGGGTTTTAGATTGTGACTTAATGTTTGGTTTCTCACTTACTGGTTTAGGTGAAAACGATTCAAATTGACTTAGTCTAAATGTAATGTATAAAGTGAATTGTGTTCCTTTATTGTGGCAAGCAAAAAACATAGTGTTTAAAATGGAAATTTGAAAAAGAAAAATGAAATCCAAAGAGGAAACCTTAGAAATCTTAATCCAAAAAGTTTTTGAGATGAACTGTTTTCTCACATGTTTTTCATTCAGTTCTATATTTTTAAACTTTATTTTTCTTGTAAAGCTGTTATAATTCCAAGCTTTTTTCTTTTAATTTCTCTCTTTCAGATTAATAATTAGGAATTTAATTCTTTTCAAATTTGTTTACCGATCACATTCTCCTCACTTCAATCCCGATGTCAGCGCTCGCTCTTGACAAGCGCATTGACTGCATGGAAATTTTTGCCTCTCCTTCCACAGGAAAGCCCGCCCACAGAAGTGAAGAAAATGTGATCTGGAAAAATCAAATATAAGGAAATGCAATTTTTACATTTCAATCTCAAAAAATTAAAGTGTACAATATAAATTGACTACAAATATGGAAAAACCTTTAAAAAAACAAACATTTGATAAAATGAAAAAAGAAATAAAAAATTAAATCTATGAAAACAGCAAATTTACTCTCCAAATTATCTCGTGGCTAAGAAGGTTTTCAAAGATTTCTGTCCTAATTGAATTTTTTCTAATTTTCATATACAAAACATGTTCTTTTGCTGCACCAATGATGGAGCAGTAAAAGAACTACTCTCTTTGGAAATGCAGTAAACTGACGTCCCATAAAGAAGAACAAAGATAGCTTGGTTGTAATTATAGTTTCAGGGATTTAAACGAGAAACACCCTTCTTCTAATTACAATTAAAATAATAATAGAGCATGAACCAACCTGTGATATGAACGTTTGGAGGACTGAAACATGGTGGCACCCTTACCGAAAAATTAGCTGGTTCTAGTTGGACAGAACTAGCGCTTGAGGACCTGGCATACGTCATTTACCTAGTTGTCATAATTGGTTTTAGAGATCTGACCCACATGCAGGGAACCACTCAGAGACCAAGGGTAAAGTTGAACAGGTTTATTGAATGTAGAAAAACACTGAAGAGGAAGCTGGAACTCAGCGGACTGGTGAACCGGAAAGTCTGAAGGGGAGTTCACAGTGATCAGTTCAGGGACTGTAGGAAAAATGACTGAGGTGTGAATATGCTGGAGAGAGACTCACTTTTTGGGGGTTCTTTGTTAATCCTTGAATCCAGTTTCTGGGGGTTTAATCCAGAGAAGAGGGAACTCGTTGGAGAGTGGACAGGCAGACACACGTTGAACCCAGAGGAGTACAGGAGCGGACTGTCACTTGGTTTTCCAGATGAGGACTTGAAAGGATCGTGTGGAGATTTTCCCCTGCTCTGTGTGAACTCCGTAAATCCTTCCAAGGGGAGAAGGTCTAGGCTATCCAGTTATACAGGGGGGCTTCCTGCCAAAGAGCAAAGACAAGAAACAAGATAAGACTCAGAGAAACAATGCTAAGGTTTAGACTCTGCTAATCTCAGCTTGGCTAGAGTACCCAAAACTGGCAAACAATCTGGCGTCGAGGTAGTGACAGCCCGCTGCTCAAGTACTCCTCCAGTAATGACCCAACGAGCCGCAGGAGTGCAGGGAGGCCCAATGAGGACAGGGCACCACCTGGTGGTGGAGAGAGGGAAAAAAACACAAAAACAACCCGCACAAATTGGAATCCTAACACTAGTATGCATTGCTATTAGGTAAATTACCTAACATACAGCTTATAGTACTATATGTACTGTATTTGATTTTCATATATTTCTCAAATAAAGTCTATTGTCAGAACTAATCATAGATCCCTTTAAGAAACAATTGGTCAGCTTAAGTAATTAGTAATTACTCTAGTCCTAATGTTTTTTTGTGTGTGTGTGTTCACATTATTAGTCTTAAAACCTAAAGCCATTTTTTTTAGTAAACTAAAATAGATTTCTGTCTGCTGCACATTTGGATGACGGAGAGAGGAAGCTCTACTTCTGGAGCCAACCCCAGGCGACCGTTCAAGGAATGTTAAAGTGCAAAATTCAGGCTGCCACTCAGGCTTGAGCTTATTCCTCAGCCTCAGGGGCTGGTAAAAGTCCATAAATTTTTATACAGCTAGATAGGTCCTCCTACTCTAAGTCAGAACTTCTCTACTATTTCCTTTCAGTCATCTCTCTGGTGTCTTGGTCCTGCCATTTTAATGTGGACATTTTAGCCTTTCCAAACTTGTGAATCCAAAAGTATGTCAGCAACGGGGGCCATCTCTACTGCTGCATTTATTCCTCCTGGTGTAAAAGTGAAAAACTGGGATGCAATGTAAATTTTATGACTGCCTCCGCCGCTGCTCCTAGCAAAATGAGAGTGCCAAAAAAACAAAAAAAATTTCCCTGTGCTGTAGTTTTGTTACTCTATGGATTAAACATATACACTGTAAGCCTGCTGTTGTTATTGTCTGCTTAATGTTTCTGCATTGAAGAGATGAGGAGAAAAGCTTTCCTTAATGAAGTCAGAAGAGGATTAAGAGTAAACAAGTTGTCAGGGTCAGCATGGAGGCTAATTAGGAGAGTTTTAATGATGTAATAACTTTCCAGTTGAACTTCTTTTGCCATAGCAGGATAGACGTGTGATAAAATTTTTTTTCCCTGTCCGTGTCTTTGTTCTTTTCAGGAACCTGCTGGATAGAGACACGTTCTCCAAGTCCGATCCAAGTAAGCTTCTCTCTTATCTATTTATGTTTCATGGCCAATCTACCACCCATCCCCATGTCACCCATAGATCCACACAATGGCTCCCCAACAGGTTTTAAGAACACTCAAATGTATTTATAATACCAACCCGCATGTGTACACTTTGATGCCGTTTCTATAGACAAGCATGCTCCACGTGCCAACACGTCATAACTGAGCAGAATCAGCTTGGCATGCAGCACAAATAGACTCACAAGCACTCATAGAGAGACGCACGGTTTTGCTTGTGTGAATCAGCAGGCATTTGCATATGTCGGGTCGTATTCGTCACTGCTCTCTGCTCTTGATGTGAGTGAGGGGTACCAGATCATCCTCACACAACGTCCCAGCCACACTCACATGGACACACAGCTCATTTGCTTGGCAGCTGGGGTTCAATTGGGTCTGCTGATCTAGTGGTTTGTTAAAGGTCCAGCCTACACCTTTAACAATAATAACAAAAGGTCCCATTAGCCTATTAATCTGAACACCCTGACAGCATACACTCTCCTTTGCTTTTAGCTTGTTTGCATTTGGTTAGCCACTTTTGTGCTTTACAGTACAATCAATGATAGACCTGTTTGAATTGGGTTTTGTTTAGATTAGGGATCTTCAACAGGGGGTCCACGACCCCTAGGGGGTCCACTGAGGTGCTGCATGTTTTTTTTTTTTTTTTCTTTTTTTTTATATTCCCCTTGCAATTTTATCCACTAATTGACATGTCTTTAAATACAAATTAACATGAATCCAACACACTGTAGTAAACAGATAAATGGAGGCAGAAGATGTCTTTAGTCATCAAAGCACACATTCAGCGACACATAGGACCTCTTTCACGCTGGGCACAGTCTCATTCACAACACCTGTCCCATCAACCAGGAATCAGAATCAGAAATACTTTAATAATCCCAGGGAGAAATTACTGTCGTTACTCCATCTGTAATGGAGTGACTATAGGACCAGTTTGATATAACACAATTTCATACAAGATATATAATTAGGGGGTCCCCGCTCCATCTCACCATCAGTTTGGGGTCCTTGGCCTGGAAAACGGCCCCTGGTTTAGATTATCTTTTTTTTTTTTTGATATGATTGCAGTTAATTTTTGCTTCAAAAAATGTCATGTGAGGAAAGTCAATAATATCCATTAGCCGCTCAGAGCTATTATGGTATTGGAGGTCACAACTTGTCATAGTGAATAAGAGTCAGCTTCTATAAATGTGCATCTGTATGTATCTTAGCCATAAAAATACATAACTACAAAAAAAAAGGTAATGTAGATTGGTATATAAGGCAGAGAAATGTATTACTAGTTTATTTTTCATAGGTCGCCTGAGCATCAAACCAATGGTTTCATTCAGGTTTTGGACCCAAATACAGAGAGATTAACTCCCAGAAGACATGAAAAATAAGGTTTAACAAATTCATTGGCAACAGTGTGAAGGGCAGGAAATGTGAGTAGATTCAAAAACAGCGGTTACTAATCCGAGGAATCAATAGATGGCGCCCTGCTCCTCTTAAGCACGCAGGTAATGAGGCTGATGATATGCAGGTGCGGCGGCACCTAGGATATCATCATAATATCATAATATTATCATAATATTTGAGAATTTTTGATACGATGGGATTAAAAAAAAATTACAAATAATTATGGAACTTTACATCATGCTGACCCAAGAATATGACAACTGTAAAGGTGTTTTCAGACCAAACATGAATGTCATCTTGGTTCCAGCACAGGTGCTTTCTGCCAGGCAGACTGCTCTAATCTTCTGTTGTCCTCCTCTGAGCTCCCTCTGTTAGCTTTCAGAGCTACTCTTTTCAATTCAGTTAATTTCTATAGTGGCAATGCACAACACATCCTCTCAAGGCACTTTACATGGCGATACAACCAGATCACACAGTCAGATTGGTGAACGTATTCTACATAGGAAAACCAGCTGATTGCATGCACTCATTAACTTGACAGCAATGAATCACACCAAAACCCTGCATGTAGTAAACAGCGGAGGGGAAAACTCCCTCTGACAAGGAAGCAACTCTGGCAGAACCGGGCTCAGTGTGAGTGGCCTTCTGCTGTCTATGGTTCCAGGTGACAGAGGCAGATGTATAAAACATAGAAGCACTGATCTATAAATACTTTCATTCTATGTTAGAAAAGGTCACAGTAAACTAGCTCTACAACTGGCTCTATCTGGGAAAGAAAAAGTTAAACAAATTAGCTCTGAGCTAGTTTATGTCAAAGGGATGAAAGATTAGCCATAGCCAGAGAAACAGGCCCAAGCACTAAATATTGGGCTTAGGCATCTTGTTACTGCCTGGCAGATATCTCCAATCTACCACTGTCCTCCTTTGATCCACTGCTGGTAGCTCATGACCCTAAATCCAGGTCCACCTTGTTGAGGTGGAACCAGCAAGCATGACAGATATTACAGAGCGACAGCCCCTGAAAGCAGTGTTGATTTTCACCGCCATCTTAAATTTAGTCTTAGTGTTCGTCTTCATGTTTTTGTCACATTTTAGTCATTACGATATGTATCCGTTTTATCCAGTTTTAGTCGACTAAAACTCAAAAAGGTTTTAGTTTAGTTTAAGTCAATTTTATGTTGCACTTATTTTATGTTGCTGTCATATCTACACTCTCTATAATTACCCACCCATCTTACTTGCTATGAAAGACCGCCACTCTTACAGTTTGTTCATTTACAAACTGACCTCAACAAATGGGAATGCCTATAACTCATCTCCCGGTCTGGGAGATCTTGTAAGCGCGTTAATAGCAACATTTCACGCACCCAGAAGCGATTAAAAGGTGATTGATAGTACCTACAGACTTAAAAAATTAACAGAATGCAATGAAATATTTGCTTTCAATATAGTTAGGGATTCCTTTTTGTAGAAATTAAAGTTTTGCATAACCTCTTTTGATGATGAAATAAAACCTGATAGTTAGAACAAAAGTGTTGTTTTACGCTTGGCAGAGAATGACCAACAACTTATAGTTTATTAAGTAGTGAGGGCAGGGAGTGCCATATTGCTGAGAGTGAACCCTCAGTGTGGAGCAAAAGTGCAGACTCTGAGCTAAGCGGGTGCAAAGACGTATTTCTGCACACCTGGAAATGCTGAATTTGTCTGAGTAAAGTGCTGTACCAGACCTTTCCAGCCTACTTTCACCCCCGCCACTGCCATGATCCATCTGTGGTCATGCAGAATGTGCACCGCTGCACACCAGGTGGGCTGCATGACCAAACAGGACACAGCAGCACGTCTGATAACGCTTAGCAGTTTACAGCACAATTGTGCATTTTAAACGTCTGACAGACCACCCGCTGACATTTTTATTTAGTTTCATCTCATCAACGAACACTCACAACATGACTTGTCATGGTTTCTTCATCAAAGATCCATGTTTACCTCGTTAATTTTCCTTATCGTCATGAAAAAAGGAGTCTCAACGAAATAACGATACCGCCTTAAAGTTAAGATTTTGTGGAGACAATCGTGTTTTGTGTGAACTCACTGAAACACGATTGTTTCATTGGCTTTTTGGTTGGCTGTTTTAAATTTAAAGCACTAGGTCATTCATTAACTGGGTATTTTATAGATTTTTGGTTTTGTCTTGTTTTTAATCGAACTCTATCAACCTCCGGCGACCCGGTGGACCTTAAAGGAGAAGTTCGGTTTTTTACACTTTAAGCCCATTTTCTGTAGTGTCCAGGATGAAATCGAATGATCGACACCAAAATTTTGACAATTGCTCCTGTCTCTGCTTTTTGGCTCATTTAGAATCACCCCCTGGCTGCTTTAGAATGGCTAGCATAGAGCATGTCAGATAATGTCCTTAAAACAACCTTAAACATTCTTTTTTTTAAATATGCTACTCACCGTGTCGTCAGCGCTGTTCAATGACGTTCCAAAAAAAGTTTCGTGAAGAAAAAACGTTCCTGTAGTGTTTTATTTAGCATTTTGTAAATCCCATTGAGTTCTGTTGGAATAGTCAATATTCCGCTGCCACCGGAAACGGAAATGGGGCCTGTTTACACAGTTGTAGTCTTTTCGCTTCACTCTGTGTACTCCGACGTCGAGAATCAAGAATCCACCTTTCGTATTCCATTTTCAGAGTTTTTTAAAGTGTTTAACAGAGACGTTAGCACCTCGACGTCGGAGTACACAGAGTGAAGCGAAAAGACTACAACTGTGTAAACAGGCCCCATTTCCGTTTCCGGTGGCAGCGGAATATTGACTATTCCTACAGAACTCAATGGGATTTACAAAATGCTAAATAAAACACTACAGGAACGGTTTTTCTTCACAAAACTTTTTTTGGAACGTCATTGAACAGCGCTGACGACACGGTGAGTAGCATATTTTAAAAAAAGAACGTTTAAGGTTGTTTTAAGGACATTATCGGACATGCTCTATGCAAGCCATTCTAAAGCAGCCAGGGGGTGATTCTAAATGAGCCAAAAAGCAGAGACAGGAGCAATTGTCAAAATTTTGGTGTCGATCATTCGATTTCATCCTGGACACTACAGAAAATGGGCTTAAAGTGTAAAAAACCGAACTTCTCCTTTAAGTGGGGGTAATAACTCAGAATGCATAAAATGCCACCGGTAAAATTTTTACCAGCAGGTGGAGCCATTGTGCACAGCTCCAAGCTGACACCAAAAGTTCCAATCCCCACGGCTCTGGAACTGTTATAGCTGGAGGTGTGAAATTTTCTGCATTTGTGGTTGACATGATGTAGAACAAATATAATACAATAAAACCTGCCTTTTCTTAAGAATGTCTTTATTACTGCTGTTCAAAAAAGACCTATCATTTCTGAGAAAATAAAAAAAACAACTTTGAGTCATGTTTGAACTGATGCAGGTTGGTCTGTGTTCTAGTCACCCAATTTTGATTTATATATTAGGAAACTAGAGGGTGTTAGCTTTCAAATAACGTATTGGACATGTAATTTCGGGTCACAGTTCCTAAGT